CTCTTCAAAGTTTAAAAAAAAAAAGCAGGAAGGGTCAATAGAGAGAGAGAGAGACCTTTAAAAGGTGTTTCTTTTTGCCTTTTTGCGGGGGAGTACTAGGGAATCGAACTCAAGACCTTGCACTTGCAAGGCAGGTGTCGGAGCGACTGAGCTAAATCCCCAGCCCTAAAATTAGGTGTTTTCTTTAAAAAACATTAACTGGCTCTACATGGATTGCAAACAGTGCATAAATAAATTGCTCAATTTGATGATATACATTTTAACTCATGCCATGAAATCTGCGATAAATCATCTGCCACAGGTTAGAACAATTTATATATGCTTCTAAACATAACTGTAACGCTGACTACTAACTTCTATCCCACATTTGGGAATTTAAGAGCATTTAGCAAACATTAAAATATTAAAATAAAAGTAGAAATTAAGACACAGAAAGGGGCCAGGCGTGGTAGCACACGCCTGTAATCCCAGCGGTAGAGAGCAGAGGCTGAGGCAGGAGGATCGCTGTGAGTTCAAGACCAGCCTGGGCTACATAAGGAGTTCTGGGTCAGTCTCAACTACATAGTGTGACCGTCTCAAAAAAACAAAATAAAAAACAAAAAAAAGACAGAAAAGGGTTAGAAACCCTGGGAGATGACTTTAAAATGTTAGAAAGCACAATTAATATTCATCAGTTTTAAAAAGCAAGTCTCAATGATGTTAAATAGTTCACACAGAATATATTTTAGCATAGTTTACATCACTGTACCTTCGATGTAAATCTTGCCTTACAACAAAATGAAACTAGCTTTCCTGCTACTCTGCAGAAATTTTCCAAAGAATTTCTCTCAATGAACCTATATTGTGAGAATCAACAATACCCATTATAGTGACCACTACCTTTCACATACTTGCTCAGAAATTTGAGATATGCCCAAAAAGCACCTCCGCCTACACTCAAAAAGTCCACATCTTTTAAAGCTACTTAACTCAACTTTTTTTCCATGTTTATTCATTTTTTTAATTATTTTAATCAACTTTTAATAATAGCCTAAGTCTGAACTAGGGCCTATTACACCACAGCTTAGTTACACCTCAATAGGCGAACCGAGCAGGAAAAAACTTGTCAGTGACTAGGCACACAAATCTACAGAGGCTTTCCTTTGTGCTTAAATTCGTTATTTGCGGCTTAATTAGTAAGGTATAGTTGGTAAACTATGACTTCTTAAAACCAAGAACCCCGCCAGGCTTTTCACAGTGAGGTGGCCCAGGGAACTCCCAGGTAGGATCAGGTGGCAGCTCTGAGGTTCCCGACTCCACTAAAGCTAACAGTTCTCCAGGGAGGGCCATTAACCTTCAAAGCTGTCGCTGACATCAGTTTGCATAGGAATGGACGCCTAGTGCCCTTTTCAGTCACTTTTTAATTAGTTGCTAAACAGACGAACATTGCTCTTTTCCACTTAACTGTCCCACTGTGAAGCTTTTTTTTTTACACCAAGAGAATTACACGTTAGGCACTAAACACATACTGACCTGAGTTTCTCCATCAAGTGGCAAGTGACAAAATGTATGGTACCACGTAAAAGCGAAAAAATAAGGTCAGGATCAAATAAGATCGCCCTGCTCTACGAACCATGGGTTATCAGCACCCAGGAAGGCGTTCATTACGGTCAAAGTAAGCCCCTCCCACTGAAGCCACTTTGGTCAACAGTAAAAAAAAAACAACGCACTAATCTTCACATAGAACAAGGAAGTGAACAGTGAAAAAGAAAAACCCACTGGGTATGAGAAGGGAAAGCGAAAACTGCTTTTAAAACTGGCAGGCTTTCTATTCGAGAATCTCCGATTCGTGCCTTTCCTCTCCAAAAGTAAAGCCGGTAGTAAAAGACGAAAACTAATCCCAGGAATGAGGAAAGGAAATCACCCCGTAGGGAGTGGACGCTGCAAGAATAGCAGAGGTCGGCCAACCACTGTACCCAGCAAAATAGCGCCCTCCGGAAAACCCCAGCAGAACTCCTCCTCCGTCCCAACACGGCGGACGCACGCAAGGGCCCTACGTCACCACGTTCTCTCCGCCCAGCGGCGTGGCGACAGACGTCACTGGGCGGACCCGGCCAGAAGGCGCCGCTGTTGACCCGGTTGTTACCAGGCGCACGCGCAGCCAATCAGCAGCGTGCGCCGGCGCCGGCCGGCCTTTGAACTCCGCACGGCAACTTCCTGCTGTTTGGCGAGTACACAGTGCAATGCAGTATGTCTGTCAGCGCTGCGGCACAAAGGAACAGCCATTTTGTGACTGAGCTGGACCTGCACCAAGATGCCAGGGGCTCAGAGTTGCTGTCTGTGCTGACTATCGAGCTGCCCTTTATTTCTGACCCACAGCACGAAAAAAAGCGAGGGAGGGTAAAAATGTTTTCGTATTTCAGTTTTCATTTTCAATCTCCTCAAAATTCCCGACTTTTAAAGTATTATCAGCGTCATAAAATGGCTGCCACTTACACTGCCCGTCCCAATCCACAAGTACTGCATTAATCCACTTCTCCCATCCAACCTTTGAGAATAACGGCTAAAACGCTCATGAAAAGCATGGGACTCTACCAGCACCTCAGGTTATCAAATCTAGCTCAAACGCTATTTGGAGATGAATTTAGTAAACTAAATTGCAAGCATAGCGTTCTAGAACACACAGAACTCTGGGTAAACAAAGTTCCATGCACATTTGCTTATCCCCAGTTGCCATTCTTTGGTATCTCAGAAGTTATGCCCAAACTGCAAATTTAGGAAAAAACAAAAACAAAAACGTGGCTATATGTCCACCACCAAAAATGTTTTATTTAAAAATACCCAATTTTAAAAATCACTTTTGAAAGTTTTAAGTGATGATATGTTAGACTTTAAGCATTAACGTCTTCTGAATACAAACTTACATAACCACTTTAAAGTAATGCACTAGCTCAAAAACATGAAAACATTTTACTTAAACTTTCACTGTACTTCCTACAGTACTTCCCAGACCAGTTTACCTGACCTACAAACTAAAAGCTCAGGCTGCAAGGTGATTTTTAGTATTCCCTAAACACTACTCTTTGTGCCATTAAAACTTAGGTCCTTATAAAAAAACTGATGACACAGAAACCTAGCACCAATAGTGTCATGTCAGCCCTCTCAATTTCAGCTCACTATAAGCAACAATAGACTACATTAAAACACTAACATCCTTTAGGTTTTACAATCTTAAAAGGAAGTGATGTCATAATTATGCACATGTATTAACAATGTATGCAACTTCAGAGTAAGATTCATTTAAAACTAACTCCATCTTCAAGAAGCCTCAAGTTTGCCTGGACACTCATCAGGTATATGACTCAAAGTATACTTGGCAAAAAGGCCTTTAAAACGTGCTTCTTGTTCAGCTGTACTCCTCAGTGAGCAGTCAAATGCATGACAACTTTCAAGTTTCTGAACAGTAAAAACTTTAACAGCACTGCTCTATTAAGTTAGAGAGCATGGTCTGAAAAATGAAGTTAACCACAAGCCTTGCATAAGAAAGCCAAAACCCTTGTGAGACTATGCAAATCATATACTCAAGGGAGCAATGATTTTAATATTAAATCTTTAATAATTTGTAAAACTTATCTGGGGTTTTCTGTTTCTTGAAATTGTTGTCACTTTCCAGAAAAATTTATTTGTTCAGCATTAGCAGAAGTTTTTTGTCCAATATATAACCTAGCAATCATTGGGCAATTCAATTCAGAAAACATCCCAATTGTTTGACAACTCAATTTGCTACAGAACTTGGAAGTGTAGTTTTAAAAGCAAGGCTCAAAATATCAGTCAAAAACAAAAATTCAACATTTGTAATAAACTACTCAAAATTTCCAAATTCACTAGCCTAACAAATGTTTTCACGGAATATTAAAAAAATCAAAATGAAAGAAAAATCACATAACCAATCACAGCTTATTAAGATTTATAACACATCAAGAAATACATTTGTGTGCTTTTAAATTAAGATACAGAAATCATACAACAAAAATGTCTAAGAAGCTTTATTACTTAATTCACTAATAAACTACTCCAAGTTATGTGAAACATATCACGACTTGAACAAAGTACATTTGTAAGCTTCAGAAGATAAACCATTCCGGGGGACTCTGTCGAAATAAATCAATAAATTTAAAGGAACAACTAAATGTGAAGATAAAATACTACAGCTGCCATTCAGAAAGTACTATCTCAATATAAGCATACAAGTACAAACCTTAAAATATTTTAAAATGTAAAATATACAATTACAAATATAATCACTGTAAAAAACACAAAGCAGAAGTGTATTATCAGCATTCCAGGACTTCTGTGACTACAGATTTGATTTCATAAATTCAGGAACAGTAACCAAGTAAAGATTTTGATAAATCATCAAAATGTCCTAAAATGTCAAGTATATCAAAAGAAAAGGAGTTGATAAAAATATAAATTGAGAGGCATCAGTCAAAGAGTCTCTTTTGCAATTTCATTTTTAAATGTACATTTTTTCATTCATATAACTTTCTCAAATGTCTATTTACTATAATTTACTACTACAAGGCTCCTCTATGGCCCTCAGTTACAAGTTTAGATGTCTAAGATTCTTCAAAGAAAAAATTTGCCTTGTATGTAAAATGGTGCAATGCAGCAATGGCTAAACCGACAAGGTCATTTTTCTGCAGCACAAAAACCTAAAATCTGAAATTTACTGACAGAAAAACTGTAGTTCATAAGAAAGGCCCCTCTGAATAAAGGTACCTTACCTTTTGACTGCTGTAAGAGGCCTTAAGTCACAGCTCAACTTTCATAAATTGCTACCAAAAAATTAGGGTGTGGCATATTAGCAATCTCAAGGTCACGCTTTTTTAAAAAAGAACCCAAATTAGAAAAATACTTATAATAACACAGACAGCAATCTATGTCTGTCAAGGTAAACAATCATAGGCTGAGGTTTCATCCAAAAAAAGACAAAAAGGAAGAAAGTTGATAGCTCATACCTCGATACATTGCTGTGTAGCGAACTGTCCTCCTCTTGGCTTTTGTCCTTATTTCTCATCATCTTTTAATTCTTAAATATTAAGGGGGAGGGGGAATCTGTTTGCTTTGAAGTCCTGTGCCCAGGTATTTACTGTCAAAAGTTGAAAGAAAGGTAAGAGCCCAGCTTCTAAGGATGATTTTTAGTATCAAGAACAAAGTCCTGACGATGTGAAGGATATTAATATAATACAACAACGGAAAGCACCAAAACGAAATATTTCTATTAAAAAAAAAAAAAACAGGATAAACCAAACAGTGGAAGCATCACTATCAATAAGCAAAGTTTCTCAAAGTAACACAGTGGACACAAATAACAATATCTATCTTATTGCGTCATCCAGGAATTTCTCGAATTTTAAAAAAATAAAGCAAACTTTAACATATAAATCTTTGAAATTATCACTAATGATCGTGAACTTACCTGATCCATGTAAGTATGTCCAAAGCAAGAGTCCTAGTTAGTAGTAGAATATCAGATCCAAAATAATTTTAAAAAGGCAAAATCCTTCGGTAAAAAATGAAAAATAAATAAAATAATCCTCAAATATGTTAACTGGTGAAAAAATAAAGCAATTGTTAATACTAAAACGGGTCCGGAAGAAAAAAAAAACCTCATTAAGAGAGCGCACAAAAATGGAGGTGCGCCATGGCTTCTAAGCTGGAAAAAACAACGACCTGGGCTCTCAGTACGGCTGCTTCTTTCCAACAAGGCACGAAAAGAAAGCTCCCAAAAGCTGCTTTTCTTCCTTAAAAAGGTTCAAATGGACCCCAGTAAGTCACCAGGAGAGGCAGGGGGCTGCGGGGGCCCCCTGAGGCCGCCCGAAAGTTAGGGAAAGTTGCGTAAAGTGAGGCGAAGGCAGGGAGCAGAGCGCGCTCTCTCTAAGGCACAGCCGCCATCTAGAGCCTCCTTCCCAGCTCTGAGAGCTCTGCCTTTGATTGACACTCTCTACATTTACCCCACAACTCAGGTGATGTACCATAGACCCACCCCTTCATCTCCACCAAAAAAAAAAAAAGAGAAAAAAAAAGATCCTCCA